ATGGACTTGCTGATGTGGTTGACCCTTCTGTTGACGATGGACTTGCTGATGTGGTTGACCCTTCTGTTGACGATGGACTTGCTGATGTGGTTGACCCTTCTGTTGACGATGGACTTGCTGATGTGGTTGGACTTTCTGATGGGTCATCTAACTCAAGCAAATCGTCTGAAGAAAACAGTCAATTAATTACAAAATTAATGTTCTCGTTAACAAAAGAAAAATGAAGATAGCTATACAGTCGAAACTCTATTAAGCGGCTTGAAATGGATATTACACATTAGCAAGTTTTAATTGCATTGTTTTCTTTTGTGTCTAWTTGACTATCACTATTTGAGTTTCTACATCAAACTGATCYTTCRCATGGGAAGCGTTTCTSAATCGCTAAGCACTTTTTCAACACTGAATTTTGAACACGAAGATCAAATTCGTTATATCTCCAAGCGACTATGTTATATTCTGTTTATCATTTAATTATATATTAAAGCAAATTATGTCGTAAAACACCTCTTTTTGCTTGCAACATAAGAAACCTCAAGTGAGTGACTATAACTTTTCGAAAGTGAGAGAAATATAATTATGTGATAAATATAGGTGCGGCATAATAATATGATAAGAAATATTATTACTTAATGATAAATGCGTTTTTTTACCATATTCAAAGTCATCCTGAAATTCGTAGGGGTTTGCAGCAGCAAGTCCTAAAATCAAGAGGAGAAAATACACAGTTTTCATCTTGGGTCCTGCAAAAGTCGACCTGAACACATGAACTGGTAGAAGTCGAATGAATAACTCAAAATTGTTTGTTCATATTAATGCCACTAGAGTGTAAAAATACGAACAAAGAGAAACCCTTGGAGTCCAATTCACACAGCGTTTCTGAATGGTCTATTCATGYACTGTTTCAAATGTGAACAATCAACARTATTTTTGATAGAATACACCRACGCACGACGTAATACATTCCTTTGGAGTTACAAACAAACAACGCCACAAACTTTATAAAACTTTAGCCGGATTTTATGATTTTTGGGGTTATAGTAATTTATGAAATACCGTCCCTAAACATCACATAAAAATGAACCTTGTACAAATAAACCAATTAAACTTTAGCAAATACAATAATCGTAAGAGCTACTGCCAATAACAGCGCCCCTCGAAATGCCATATACATAGTCGGTAACTGCTGAATATTCTTAGCACAAGCCATCTAATAAGGCCCGTTTACACTTGCAATTTTTGCAGCGCGATTGCCTCGCCTTAGTTTCGAACATGCTTGAAATCTAGCTGCAACTCGCGGCGATTTTTGATCGCCGCGGCAATCGCGGGGCTGTTTACACGTACGATTTGAGGTGCGAGAGAACACTGGAAAAAATCGCGCGCTTTAAAGGTTGTAAATTTGATGTAAATATGATGTAAGTGTCCAAAATTCTGTAAATTTAATGTAAAATCATTTACATCAAATTTACAACTTTTAAAGCGCGCCATTTTTTCCAGTGGAACAATCGCGCTGCAAAAATTGCAAAGGGCCTTAATGATTTTAGAATATGAGTCTTTTCCACAAAAAGATAAGAAAGTGTGGCTATTATCAGTAATTATGAATAGTTYCTCTTGCAAAATAATCTACTAGATACTGATCATGCTCACTCTAAGTGCATTGATTTTGCTATAATCATGATAATTTTGCATAGGCTGATTCGGTTGTGGAAAGGGTGGTTGACAATATTTTAATTATGTAACTTTGTGCCCTGCAGGGATTCACAGCTTGAATATATTAAGTATTTCGCTTTTTATTGAAAGTATCATTTTCACAAATAGTTTCATTAAAAAATGAGCATTCAATAAATATTGCCTGCAACGTTTGTTGGCGGATCATGATGCCTCGGTTTGTAAGGGGAAAAAATCACTGTATTCATGGCAAAAAAAATAGGTTTTCCTATTAATCTGGGTGAACGTTCAATGTAAAAGCCCCTGATCCATTTTGCTTTAAACAGCGAAAAGCGGGGGCSACTGTCCATGGGCATGACATGAGACGAGAACAGAGCGTGGGAAAACGTTGGTCACAGCATGAAAAATAATCGGCCATAAGACTGCCATACAAAGAAGTTAAGAAACTGAGTCGTCTCTGAATAAATAAATTAGTAATACAGACGTTTCAATCGCAACTGCGATCTTCTTCAGTGCAGTGGTAAAATGCAAAGTGTCCACGCGCGACTAACAAAGAAGTTGTTTCTTTGATTTATATCCATATCAATGAATCWAAACTATGCTTTTTGATTGTTTTAGCTATAAAACTACTGAGTCATGATCATGGCCCCATGTAGTGAATGCGATGGACGGCAATGATGAAAAAAGACTTTCTTTTCTTTCCTAAGTTGTATCGAAATCAACTCATAATGTGTCCGCTGCAAAGAATTCGGTCTTAAATCAAACATTTGTTGGTATTAATTAYCTTTTTTGCATGTTGCTGAGTTTCGTCTAGTTAATCTTTAGTTATATTAAATTAATTTTGCGAGGCGGGATGCGATAACCTTGACAGTCAACCAAGTATAAAAATAAAGGCTTTTTAATGTTCCCGCTACGATTTTTAATTTCAATTTTCTTGAGTGATAAATATGGCACTGAAATTTCTACACGATTCACTCTTGAAATTTTTAATGGCTCAGTAAAGTCCCAATGAAAACCCTCAGTATAAGCAGACAGTGTATATCTACAATAGTTTTTGACAAATCTTTCAAAGACAAAGCCCAGTAAACATTCAATTTCTTAGCTGAGTGAAGCCGCAACGTGGCTGTCCGATTCARAGTTGCATAGCCTAATTTTTTACGCCAGGGATTCTGTCTCTTCTGCAGAAAGAAAACAATGCTATTCACGTGTGATAGGGGTTTATTTTGTAGCTTTGAAATGTTAAGTTGTTTATTTATCGTCCCTTGGGCCTTTGTGCGTGAGAGGCTTTGTGCGTGAGAGAGAGTTCGACCGCGGTACCGGCTAAAAGTATAGTTGCTCGAGGAGTACGAAAACGTGAATTGCACCCAGCTTTAGGAGGCGAGTTAGGCCCATGAAATATATGTAAAGCGTGGAGAACAGAATAAAACCTACGTCGTTACACACGAAAGATTATATATTATGAAGTGGCTACGCGGCTACGTGGTCAGAAATTGAATACAGGTTTCCTAGTGTTTTGCATGAGAACGAGGCAATATACGAACAGGGGTCCATACTTTTTTTCACTTGTATGTTTTTCTACAGTTTTTTATCGACTTATTCGAACTTTTTAGCTCGCCTTAACTTATTAAAAATTTTCTTATCGAATTTTAACTTAGAATTATGAATTTAACATTTTATAGCCTGACCCGTCCTTTTCCCTAAACCTAACTCTTCGACTACAAATGTAAAGCGCCTTAACTAACTAGACCACGAGAGATTACGCTGGCAAACAACGAATTGTTTGTGACATTTAAAGTATTTTTCATTGCTAATAGCACCAGTAAATTGGGATTCCTTAGAGACCGCTATTCGCTTGTTAGAGTGGTTATCATTAACCCGTGAAACAAAGTGTAATAAAGTGTAATAGCCAAGAAATATAATAGAAAACAAAAGAGACAAAGTGCAATAAAGTGTAATACGCTGAAGTGTATTTCACGGGTTAATGAGAACCACTCTAGGTGCTTCTATACGCTTGTTAGTTAATACCATATTTCGTTTGCACGTTACGTCATAGATCAAAAAAAAATTAATCTAAACCTAATTTCCCATGAGATCGATTTTACTCTAAAATATAGTTTAGAAAACTATGTTTCGAGATAATTTTTGAACTTATATGCGAATAATTTGATGCACTACGTGTTTTATTTGGTAGCCAAAGTCATGTCACACAACTCCAGGTCACGCGCATGAAAAGCCGTGGAAATCAACTAAAATTCTTCTAAATCGTAGTTTTTGTTTTAATATAGATTTAGAATTGCTAAATGTAATGAAAATAAGGAATATTTGTACTTTGTACCCTAAATTATGTTCATAACAGTTAGCCGCCATTTCTGGTGGACTTCAGAGGTCCACCCGTACGGTGCCGCCATACATTTCTTTGTAAAGATCGGCATATAAAATTGCTTATAAACTTGCAACAAAAGCTCGGTTCGACTCAAAATTTCACAGAATTACAGAATTTGAATACGTCTATTATGTGAAAGTACCGAAATTTTACCTTTGATTTTAAAACTCTCAGGGATACAGAGTATTACTCGCTCTTTCACATGGATTACTTGAATTTTGTTTATGCCTAATTTTACGGAAAATTTATTTTTCCATGACGTACGTGCAAACGAAGAATATGGAATACGTACGACAACTCTTACTACTGACGGCTACGGAGTCTTGAGGGTTTGGGTGGTGGGGTATTCGATAGTTGTACCATAATAAGTCCTTTTTCAGTTAGAGTACAAACACTAAAACTGTGCAACATAAATACCACTAAATACTGCTAATTCTATTGTTTTCTATTGTTTAATT